TTATGTTCATGCGAAATGTATGCGGTCAAGACATTCTGGAGGCACGCGTTCGTAAAAGAAAAGCATGACTGAATCACTCATCGCATTCTTGTGCTATACTGGGGCTAGGGAGCATGTCTTCAACGATAGCCGCGACGCGACCGCTCGCGTCGGTAGTGCACCGCACACATTTTGCGGCCGTTTCAGGAAAATTGAAGTTAAACATCAAATCGTACCAGTGCCAAGCCCTGAACGACTTGCATTGCCATGACCATCACGTCGGTGAATGGATGATATTGAAAAGCGAACGCAACGACGATATTCAGCACGCTTGCAATGGCTACTCCAAAACAGAACAATCTGGAAAATTGTTTCAAAATAATGGTCATCTTGCAAGTTTCATAATTTGAACTTAATTATATTCAGAAATAATGTCTAGTGTTATACTATGTGCACCAGCTGTGAAGAAAAGTCCCATTCTTCCAGATGGCATCTCTACATAAACTAAACGCGAAATGTGCTTCCAGCGGACTACTATATTTGGAAAATACCGATGAATGGTTTTTTTAGCCCATAAATTAATCACGAACTTGTTTGGAGCGAATTTCGCGGCAATAATTCCTGCTGGAATCTGGGAAACGGCGTATCCGTAGAAGAACGAACTTTCCATCATGCCCAGTTCGGTGGCTGTCCATGAGAATTCTGGTTCCTGGAAAAAAAGAGGCTCTCGAAGGGTTCAATAGGTTGTTGGTAGGTTGGATGGTTGAGTTCTAAGTAAGGATCATAAGAAGTGTAACAATTAATAGAAGAGGCAAGGCAAGACATATGTGATACGTAAGATGATCTGTGTTGATAGATTCCTATTATTGATATTAGCCATACGTGCGCTTATCAGACGACAGAATCATTCAATTGTTAGGTCCTAATTGTGGAGCGGTCAATTTTGGTGAAAAAATTCCCTGCCAGTCAGTAGACGGGATGAGTGCTATGCGGCGCCTCTAGTTTTTGTTCTACTCCGGAAGAAGTGGAAATCTGAGAATTGAGAATTCATTGGAAGTTGAAGACTGAGTGACCAGCATTTCAAAACTACACGGAATGTGGCGCATGCAATTTCGTAAGCTCCATTCTGCGACTGGAGCAGTGGTTTA